TGGAGCATCAAAAAAGCACAACTAGAAAAAGATGCCACCAATGCAGTGATGTAGGGAACTCTACAGTCACTATTGCAATTTCAGTAGTCACTTAAAAAATACAGCCAGGCATGGTGGCTCATGCCTGTAATCCCAGGGGGAATCACTTGAGACCAGGAGTTCAAGATCAGCCCGGGCAACATAGAAAAATTACATACAACATACAAAAAATTTAAAAATTAGCTGGACATGGTGATGCATGCCCATAGTTCCAGCTACTCAGGAGGGTGAGGCAGGAGGACTGCCTGAGCTCAGGAGTTCAAGGCCGCAATGAGCTATAATTGCACCATTGCACTCCTGCATGAACAACACAGCAAGACTCTGTCCCAGAAAAAGGAAAGCAAATACATACGAAGGCTGAAATAGTCAGGCACCTGGAAGCTTGCTAAATAAGGCTTTCTGATTCTCTGCCATTAGGCATTATCACCTGATAAACTGGGACTTTGCAGGGGCTTATTCCATACTCTCAAACTTTTCTATAAAGCAAGTGGCTCAGGAAATCTAAACATTCTATTAGATGTATATTGGAGGTTTTAGCGATTACTACTGTTCTCGTTCCCCTTCCCTTTTTCTCCTATTTCTTTAGAGTTGGAGTAATAATCTTGTCTAGAGTGTGAAATTAGAATTAATATCTGAACTACATGAAAAGAAAGCCCTGTATTTTTTTTAACTTGATAAAATACAATAGCCTTTTACTTACTTACCCTAAAAGCATTGTGACATACAAAAGTCATTGGTTCTGTGAGGGTAAAAGAAGATCTATTATGCAAATTCCCAGTGACCTTTCACATCCTAAAAATGGCAAACAGACCAAATGGGCTGTATTTGGCCTGCACAGGCATTTCCCTGCCCAATGCAGTATTTAAAAAATATTTAAAACTATTGCCATTATTTAGGAATCTGGAGATTTCACATAAAATCTAACTTTCCAGATACTGTTACAAAAATGCATGATGTGACTATACTAGATACCACATTCCCACATAGCAACAGATGATGAGCTGATTCTTACTACTCTCCATTCAGACATGGTCCTCACTGCCACACAGCCTCTGTTGCCTTATATTGCCCCCCTTCATTCACCCATTTAACTTGTGTGCCCTAAGGATTTCTTAGTGGGGCTTCAGGGACTCTGGGTGCTTTACCACCCAAACAGCTTCACTTTCAGTCATTTTACATATATGCCAATTAAATTTTTCTATGAAGAATGGGTTTTCTGCTAATAAATTTGAAGATTTAGGTTAAAATTTTTAAATATATTCTTTGATCACCTGAAGTTAGAGGAAAGCACTTCAAAATTTTATTTGGATAGAATTTGTAGGTAATCTACTGAAAGTCAACTATAATAGCTTTTAGCAGACTTCTTAGAGACTAGTTCTTTGAGTAAGATAAAAAACACATGAAGAGGGTCAACATTAAGTGTAACAGTGCAAAAGTACTGGGCCAAAAGCAGGTATTAAATTGAGGAGAGAATCATTTACATTTGAAGCATTTAGTAATAGGAGCAGTTATGGGAAAACAGTAGGATGAGGCCAAAATGGGAAAGTGGAGAGGTAGGGGGGAAAAAGCAGCTAAGAATAAGGGAAGGATGGGGATAAACGCTATGAGCACAGGGAAGTAAAGAGAAATTAGGGGGGAAAGGGAAAAAGTGGTTAAAAAAGGACAACAGCACCACGAAAACAAACTGCAAAGAGGAAATGGAAGCCAAGCTAGTGAAAGCACAGTAGAGGAGAAAGCAGCAACCTTTAGAGAAATGTGAGGTGGAGGCTGAAGGTCTCTCGAAATTGGAGCACTTTATGTTCTTCTTATCAGTGATTTCAGAGTAATAACCTTTTATTTCCATGCTGTGTAGGCCAAATGCCTTGTATGAAGGATCCTAACCCAAACCAAAGTTTACTACTACTACTTGAGGTCCACTCAGGATCCTTGCCCTGTGTTAGTCTCTGAGTGTTGACACAGGATACCTCTTTTCCTACCACTCTAGGTCCCAATTTGTTGCATCCTGCTCAGCCTAGATGCCAACTCAGCAAAAAGATTCTCCTGAAGAGCAAAAATATATTCTTGGCTTTTCTTCAAGAGGCATCCAGAGTGCTCCTTTTTCGGAAGAAGTTTGTCTATTCCCCCTCTCCACCCTGCAACAGTATTTTCTGAGATAGTAATATCCATTCCAAATTAAATAAATGATCCATGCAAAAGGAAGAGCCCTTATAAACCATAGTAATAGTAGCTGCCATTTGTTGAGCACTTACTGTGGTCCAGACATTGTACTAAGCACCTTATATATTTCATGTAAACTTTCCAATTCTTCTGTTAGGTTCCACATATTTTCTTAAACAATGTATAGATATAAATTATTCTTAGGAAAAGTTTATAATAAAATGACAAGTTTTTATTACATTAAAATGTCAAGTAGCATAACTGCTTATGTTCATCACTGAATATATTACATAATATAATCACAAATATGTAAACCATTTAAAATAGTAAAAATTGAAAGGAAATGACAACAAACTCAACTGCATTTAGGTGATGAAAACAGAGTGATTTCCCTTTTTCTTCCTATTTCTCTATATCCCAAATGGAAAAGTTAGAAAGAATTCATCATACACATGTATGATGAATGTACACATGTAAATATTTTTTAAAAATTAAAATGCTGGCTGGGCATGGTGGCTCACAGCTGTAATCCCAGTACTTTGGGAGCCAAACGCAGGTGGATCGTGAGGTCAGGAGTTCAAGGCCAGCCTGGCCAAGATGGTGAAAACCCATCTCTACTAAAAATACAAAAGTCAGCCAGGCATGGTGGCGGACACCTGTAATCCCAGCTACTAGGGAGGCTGAGGCAGGAGAATTGCTTGAACCCAGGAGGCAGAGGTTGCAGTGAACTGAGATCATGCCACTACACTCTAGCCTGGGGAACAGAGCAAGACTCCATTACCCCCCCAAAAAAAATTAAAATGCTACAGAATCATCTGAGTCTTTCTAGAGATTATTCTTTGATAACTTTTTCAATTATTGTCATTAGGGTTGGGTTGGCTTATTTACATATTTTTCCCCAAAAAATCACTAATTTCATTGAGCTTTTCAAAAATATTAGTAACCTACTTTCCTCTTCATCTGCTATTTGTGATTTATAATGTTTAAATGTGTTCTCTCAATTGGATTTACCATAGACTTGTTGCTTTTATGAACTTGTTAATAAAGATTTTATTTTTGTACTTATTTATTAATGTCACTATTTTTCTATTTTCTGATCCATTTTCTTCTGCTTTTACTTTTTTTTTTCCTAACTTTTTTGTTGGGGGCAGGGGAGGCTTTCTCCTTTCTCCTTAAGTTGAATGTTTAGTTCATTTATTTTTTTTCTTTTTCAATAATGAAAGCAAATGAGAATATACATCTACCAAGTACTGTTATTTTTTAAATAGTCCACTGTGGGAATCTGTGTGTGGTGGTAGTGAGGAGGTTGGGAGCTTTCTGTTTGTGTAGTTTTAGAATATACAAAGGGAAAAGAGGAAGGTCCTTCTTGTCATATACCAGACTGTATACTTAGGCCTTAATGAAGAGGTCAGAGAGACTTTTTTCTAGTAGAGAATATACCTAAGCTGAGGATAGAGCCAGGATTTTAACAAGATCTGCTACAGTGATTGGAGCCTCATTTTGTCTGGTGTTCAGGCACTCATGTTACCACAGCAGGTGCTCCAAGGTGCTGGCAAGTTGATTCTCTGAATTTGGATGATGAGCCAGGGGTACATTTGAAGAACATTCTGGGCTATTTAGGAAGTTCAGAAGGATGACCTGTTGCAGGCATCATCCAGAAAGCAGGCTGGGCTTGTGCTCAAAAACTTGATGAGATAATTTAATTCAGCAAGATACTAAATAAAGAGGGCAAAACATACTGATAATACACTGTGCATGAAAGGAAAAGCAGGAAATTGCTAAGCATTGTCTGGAATTTTTATCTGTTCAGTTGGCTATGAGGGACATGTTATGTCACAGTCAAGGGAATAAAGGACTTTAGCTTTGATTATATACTTCTAATGGAAAGAAAAGCAGGGGTTATCCTTTTTCTAAAATTTTCTTCCCAGCATAAAGAGTGTTCTAAAGTTTATTTGAAAGTCATTTATACCTACACTTTTTAAATGTTCTACACAGATTTATTTGCTCACTTATATTTGCCCTTAAAAAGCACAGGGAAGTTGAATCTGATTTTCTTTTTTTTTTTTATGAGACGGAGTTTCGCTCTTGTTACCCAGGCTTGAGTGCAATGGCGCGATCTCGGCTCACCGCAACCTCCGTCTCCTGGGTTCAGGCAATTCTCCTGCCTCAGCCTCCTGAGTAGCTGGGATTACAAGCACGCGCCACCATGCCCAGCTAATTTTTTGTATTTTTTTAGTGGAGACGGGGTTTCACCATGTTGACCAGGATGGTCTCGATCTCTTGACCTCATGATCCACCCGCCTCGGCCTCCCAAAGTGCTGGGATTACAGGCGTGAGCCACCGCGCCCGGCCTCTGATTTTCATCTTAAAGGAATTATACCCTTTTGCAAGGTATAATTCCTTTAAGATGAAAGGTATATATCTACAAAAGTTATGTATTTACAGAAGGATATATATGTCACAAAAAATATTGTCAAACTAGATGCTGGGGACATTTATTCTTTTTAATAAATTTATGTGAATGCATTTCTTATCTTTGACTTGTAAGGCAAAGAATTTCAGAGGTGGAAAAAAGATACTGATGAAATTCTCCAAACAGGAAAATTTTTCTGTAGGTTTCGGAAAATAAATAGGGTTTTAAGAACAATTATCTTTTCCTATTTATACCAGTAGCAAATCTTCATAAAAAATAGAAACTTTCCAGAAACATATAATGTATAAAATGCTCTCCTTAAGTTTACCCCCAGCTGATACTCACAGTGAACATTTTTAAGATAATAATTTTCACAAAAACAATCATAGCATAAGTTTTCTAACGTTTTATTTTACTCAATATACCTTTGGCATATTTTAGTTTCTAAAAACTGGGTGAGATTTTAATGAACAGACATATAGAAATTTAAATTCCCAAATTTTAGGCATTCAAGTTTCCCAATTTAAATACACAGTGCTTCTTTATACATACGTTCAAACAATTATGTAAGCATTTCTATATGGATAATTCCAAGAAGCTAAGTTGTTGAATCAAGGGATATGGACAACTTTTCTAAATAAATCTTACCTTCCAAAACTGTACAACTAAGTGTGCCTGTATATCCATACACGTTCTAACACTGAATATTGTAAATCACTTGTCTTCAGCAATCTGAAAGATTTTTAAAAATCTCATTCTTGTTTTATTTAAATTCTTATTCATGAACCTTTTCACATTCATTATTCTTAATTATGTGTTCTATGAATTTATGCAGGTTAAGTACTTTGTCTATTTTCTATTGGCTTGTTCATATTTTTATTTTTTAGTAAGATAAAAGTTCTTTTTATATTAGGAAGATCAGCTGTGTCTTTTAGATGTGTGGCATATTTTACTTTTAGCTTATATTTTAATCTTACTTTTTTCATTCAAAAATTTTGATTTTACAAGGCCAGTTTCATCTATCTTTTCTTCCATGGATTTTTCAGTTTTATGTCTTTAGGGTTTTGTATTATTCTTAAAAAGGCGCTTCCCACTCCAGCTTTCCAACCTATCTCCCTGCTTCCGTCCTTGCCCAACCCCTACACATTCAAGTCTATTATTAACATAGCAGCCAAAATAATAATTTCAGTACCTAAGTTTAATTATGTTACTCCTCTAACTCAGAAACCTTGAATGAGCCACGCTGGGTAGCTCACGCCTGTAGTTCCAGTTGCTCAGGAGGCTGAGGTGACAGGATCGCTTGAGCCCAGTAATTTCAGGCTGTACTGAGCTATGATCACGCCACTCACTGCACTCCAGCCTGGGTGACAGAGTGAGACCATCTCTAAAAAAAAGGAAAAATAAAGAGAAGAGAAAACAAACTTTGAATAGCTTATCATTTTATCATTTCAGAGTAAAAATATCCTTGCACTCACCCAAGGCTCTCACTATCTCTACACCCAACACTTTTGTTCACTCAGCTCTGGACATGCAAGCATCCTTCCTTTGCTCAAAATACTTAAAACACACCCCACTGCAGGCTTTTGCATTTGTTATCCCTCTCCCTGAAACATCTTTACCCCTAATAGTCCATTCCCTCAGCTCCCTCAGTCTTTGCTCAAATGTCAATTTACTAGTCAGGTCCTCAATGAATACCCTATTTAAATTGCATAATTTCATTCTCACCCCAAATTCTCTATTTCCTTTATTTTCTCCTTAGCACTAACATTCACCATCTCTGTACACTATATTTTTTTGGTTTATTGCCTGCTTTCCCATGACACACAGACACACACACGATTATAAATTCCATGAAAGGAAGGGCATTGTTTTGCTCAAAACTATAGTTCCAGCTTCCACAATAGTGCCTGGCACAGTAGGTAAATCAATATTTGTGAAAGAAAGGGAAAGAGGAAGAAAAAAAAAACTTAAAAGCATTTTTCACGCATCAGTTTGGCAAAGATAAAAATATTTTATAACACTGTGTTGACAAGTATAGGTAAATAAGAATATCGCTAGTAGATTCCATGATTGATGATTTGGCATTAACAAAAATACAAATGCCCCTACTTTACGCTGTAGTAGTTCCCTTTCTAGAAATATAGACTATGGACATATCCTTACACATGAAAAATGATGTGTGTTCACAGTAAGTTGTTGCAGCAACATTTGAAAAAGAAAAATTGGAAACAACCTCATGACCACCAGTGGGGTAGTTATTAATAAATTTTGGCACATAATACACAGTTGAATACCATGCAGTTGTTTAAAAAAGAGCAAGACCAAGGAACACTTATGTTCAGTCTTTACCAAGATCACTTGGTTAAAAAAAAAAATAAGCAAGGTACAGAAATGCTACCACTTGGGCAGAGGGGAAAAGCGGGGACAACCTATAGCAGTGTAATGTATCTATAGAAGGATACACAAGTCACGAAAAATATTGTCAAACTAGACGCTGGGGGGACATTTACTCCTTTTAATAAATGTATGTGAATGCATTACTTATCCATGTTACTTATTTAATAATTAAACCGATAAAAATATTGAGAGGGGGGAAAAACGTTTAAGGAGGTACAGACAAGACTTGCTCGCAGGCCCCGCAATCCCATCAGTACAAGGTGCATAAGCCAGGTCCTCCACTGGCTAGGGCTGAAGAGGCAAGCCCTGAAACTGCCACAGAGCCGTAGCTTCCTAGAGCGGCCCGGAAGTGCCCAGCTGCAGCGGCCAGGCTCCGATTGGTGTCTTTGAGTCTAGTCTTTGTTCGGGGCTGCCCAAAGGACGCTAGCTGTCGCACCTGTTCCCTGCATGCAAGGTGAGTGTCTCCCAGCTCCCAGGTGGAGAAGAGGGGACAGGGTGCAGGTGTGGTCAGCAACACCCTCCCCACAACTCCCTGCCGTGGGCACAGTGTGACACTCCTGTCCCTCCCTCCGTGCCCCGACAGATCTGCAGGCGAGGAGTTGGCCCGACCTTCCGGGAGAGGACGGGTGGAAGGGGGACACTGGTTGCGGGTTCCTCTGCAGAGGCATCCATCTGATCCCCTTTCAGGGTTGGCACACATATCCTATAACCAGTGAGTCCTGGGGACACAAGCTGGCCCATGCATCTCCCGGGACTAGAATGAAGAGCCTTTTAACAAAGCAGTTAATAATACTTGGCATTTATTTAGTGCTTACTAGTGCCCGCTGCCATGCCAGGGATGTTGCATACGTTCTCATGTAATCTATATATCAACCCTGTAACACACATGAGAATTGTACATGAGGATCTGTAGTTCTAGTCTGATAAATAACTTCCTCTAAGTTACGCAATAAAGCACAGATTCACATCATGTACCTGCGTCACTGTTTTTTGGTTTTTGAGGGTTTTTTTTTTTTCAGCATCCTATAAGACTTTTCTCTGATTCACTTCTGGTGGCTTGGCTTCATTATGATGTGTTTATATTCACAGCAGTTTTTGTGATTTCTCTATAGTAACAACTTTTTAATGCTTTAGGAGTGGCTCTGAGGCCGGATTCTAAGAAATTCTCTTTGACTTAATCCCAGATAGAGGATAAATCTCCCGAAAAATCCAAGAATGACCACAGCCCTGGAACCTAAGGAACCAAAAGGACTTCTGATAATTAAGGCAGAGGACCATTACTGGAGACAGGAATCCATCTCACAAAAGTGCAATCCTCACAGGAGGGAACTCTATAGGCAACATTTCAGGAAGCTCTGCTATCAAGATGCACCTGGACCCCGTGAAGCTCTTTCCCAGCTGTGGGAGCTCTGCCGTCAGTGGCTAAGGCCAGAATGCCATACCAAGGAGCAGATTTTAGACCTGCTCGTGCTAGAACAGTTCCTGAACATTCTTCCTAAAGACCTGCAAGCATGGGTGCAGGCACACCATCCAGAGACTGGAGAGGAGGCAGTGACTGTACTGGAGGATCTGGAGAGAGAGCTTGACGAACCTGGAAAGCAGGTGTGAAGGGGCAGTCATTTGGCTGTGACAGATCAGGGAATATGGACAAAGCCAAAGCAAAAGGCATATGAAAGAACATCTGAAAACATTTAATATGTATACCCTAAAGAACAGGGCATAGGAAGGGACGTGACTATCTATGTCAGATAATTCAAGTGTGGCTGGGTAAAGAGAAAAGAGTCACTAGACTGATTCTATGCCTGTTTGGAAGGCTAGGTTCAGTGGGAAGTTACTGAAAGGCAATCAGGTATCACAGGAAAACAAATAATTTTCTGCCATTCATAGCTACCCATAAATAAAATAGGCTACCCCATAAGAAACTCCCTTTCCATATAGGTATTCAAGTGGAGATTCAAGTAGATGTCAAGGATATTGCGGAATAGCACTGTCCCACAGAAATATAATATGAGCTGCATATGTAATTTAAATTTTCTAGTGGCCACATTTAAAAAAACAAAAACAGGTAAAATATGTTTTATTTAACCCATAATATTTGATCATGTAATCAATATTTTAAATGAGGTACTTTAGATTTTTGTGTTTTAAATTTTCAGTTTGATATGCATTTTACATTTAGCTTATCTCATTTGTACTAGCCATATTTTAAGTACTCAGTAACCACATTTTGCTAGTGACTACCTGATCGGACAGCATGGTTATAGAAGAAATGCTCCCATTTGCTTGAAGTTGGGCTACATGATTTTTAAGCTACCTTCCAAATCCCAGTGTTCTGATCCTGGACCTCTGCAGATCAGTGAAAGAAGAGACACTGAATTTTACCCTCTAGTGTCCTGAATTGTAGAGATTGGCCTCTGTTCCTTTTCCTAGGCATTATTGCCATTTACAATGAAATGAGAATTTGTCCTCCCTTTCTATGTCCCCGGCAGATGTTTCGTTTGATTGTTTTATCTGAAGTTACTTCAGTTTCCATAAAATTCACCTTACACACCTCATTGTCCCTAGGTCCAAACTAATTCAGAAAGTCAGGACATACTCATGGACAAGTTGACCCCCTTGGGAAGGCCGTATGAATCACTGACTGTCCAGCGCTATCCCAAGAAGACCCAGCTGGAGCAGGAAGCTGGGAAGCCACACAGGAAAGGTAAGTAGGAAGAGCTCTGTATGAGGGAAGAGGTGCTTCCTTAGGTTTGAGAAGAACTTTCTGACTTTCATCTTTTCCTTTTAAAGATTTCCTGCTTGTCCTCCACCTCACTGGATAATTTTAACCTCTTCTTACCCTTACTCTACAATGGAGTTATATTTTAGTTTTTCACTAGGCAAAAAAAACTGTTATTTGGCTCAAAGGATGAGGATGGGGTTTATTTAATATCTTTATAATTCTATTTGTTATCTAATGATTCTAGCTCCACATTCCCCTAAATTTCCATTTTGAGATAGGAGAATTTATGGCACCCCGTATTAGTCAGTGAGGGCTACCATACAGAATACCATAGACTTATGGGTGGCTTAACAACAGAAATTTATTTTCTCACAGTTCTGGAGGCTGGAAGTCCAAGATAAAAGTGCTTACAGGGTTAGTTTCTAGCAAGGCTTCTCTTCCTTGGCTTGCAGGCTTCTTGCTCTGTCTTCACATGGCCCTTCTCTATACAGACACACTCCTGGTTGCTCTTCCTCTTGTAAGGACACTAGTACTACTGGATTAGAGTCCTACCCTTATGAACTTCATTTAACTTTAATTACTTCATTAAAAGCCCTACTGTCATATATAGTAATGTTGGAAAGGAGTTGAGGCTTCAGTATATGAATTTGGGGAGAAACACAAGTCATAACACATTCCCATGATGAAAGAAGTAGGGAAGAGAGACAACGATCAGTCAATATAGCAAAGTTTCTTGTTTTTATCTGCACGTCAAATTAACTGGGTTTGGTCCCCCATCCCAGCTCCCTAATTACAAACCGGGGTGTCTAGAGTATCCCCAAGCTACATTAAAAAGCAGGTGAGGCCAGGCACGGTGGTTCACACCTGTAATCCCATCACTTTGGGAGGCCAAGGCAGGTAGATCACAAGGTAAGGAGTTCGAGACCAGCCCCAACCAACGTGGTAAAACCCTGTCTCTCCTAAAAATACAAATATTAGGTGGGCTTGGTGGTGCATACCTATAATCCCAACTAGTCAGGATGCTGAGGCAGGAGAATCCCTTGAACCCAGGAGGTGGAGGTTGCAGTGAGCTGAGATTGCACCACTGCTCTGCAGCCTGGGTGACAGAGCAAGACTCCACCTCAAAAAAAAGAAGCAGGTGAACTTTAAATGTTTAAATTCCAGTTTGTCCAAACCCTACCCTTTCCAGTGCTCACTGCCCTTTCTCTAGAGGCTCTCATGTCTAATAATGCCTCTCCAGGTAGTTCCTTATACTCCAGCCTATT